CCGTCTTGTTATTCAGGTCCTCCTTAGTCTTGTTGATTTGCGTTTGTAAGACAGCTTTGGACTCCGTTATCTGCTCCAGAATCTCTTTGGCCTTGTATAGGCGTATGACATTATCATAGAGGCGGTAGCATTTGCGGTCGGGCTCCATAGTCTCCAGCACATCTATAGTGGCGGTAAATTCGCGAAAGTCCTTTTCCATCATGCTCAGCCTGAAGGCCAACACGGATTGCACGTTGCGCAAGCATTGTAGCTCGGCCTTAACCGTTTCCTCAACACCGTTTAAATACTCCATTTGTTTGTTTTGTTAAAATTTCCTGGAGAATTTTTGTATTTTAATGTAGATGTGTGGGCGATGTATGCAATAATACTGATGTTTCCGTTCTACAATTATATTCAACGATACGAAAACATTTTCAAAGCATACTAATCTGCTCGAAGGGTCTACATATACAAGCGTTGTAGTAGAATCCATTGAATTGATCGCCTTATTCATTTGACGCTGCAACTAAAATTCGGACAACTACTTGATGTTGAATAGTCGCTGAATTTTCGGCAGAATTGAAGTATTTGAGAACGGGGAACCATGTTTTCGTATAATTTCGACTTTATAGCGCGGTAGGCATGAAAATAATGTTCACACAAATCATCCGTGTTTTTGCAAATAAATAGGCTTTGAAAAGCAAATCCAATGAAGTTTTATTTGTATCAGAAAACTATCTGCTCGTATAGTTTGTTATTGAATTGTATTGAAGTAAAATTGAATTAGAGTATTGTAAGTGGTGTTTGTGTTGTCAATCTTAATGCAAACACAACCATCTACGGGAATATAGATTGATTGAACCTTTCGGCAATGAAAAATGGAATCGGCCCATTACGTGATAGTAAGTACCCAATGGCGTGACGTTTTCAAAAGCATTTCAAAACGCATCCTTCATTTGAATTTAAATGTACAATCAACTATTTGTCACGATTCTGTTCTTCATAATTAAACAATTCAGCATTTTTTTTTTCAAACCAAAAGCCATACGAAAAATATTCAAGAATTTTAAACGAGTACCAAGAATATTTAAAGTGGGCGGCATTCAAAAGTTAACGATTATATTAGAATGGGCTTGAAACCGGATACAAGCACAGAGTCGGCCTATAGACAGACAAACAGACAGTCAGCCATTCAGTTAGTCAGGCAGAGTCCAAGTGTCGCAGATCTGTGAAACGCGCCCCCCAAACATCTAAACTAAACAGATCCGGTATGCGTGTTTGCCTAGCCTCCAAAGTTATTCAACAATAACAGCAGCAACAACAACAACAAGATACGCACAAACAGAGACTAAACACAAAGATCTCATATAGATCGACCGCAACAACAACAACTATAATAACCAGACAAGAAAATGTTAGCTGGAAATGGCAAAAAAAAGAAGCGAGCGAGCAAAGCAAAGAAGCAGAAGAAAGAAAAGTAAACTTATTTTCATTTTCAAATGAAAGGGAAATTCTCACCTAGATGGAAGATGTGCAGAAGAGCGCCAACGGGTGACGTTTAGCGTGTGTTGTGTAGTGAGTGTGCGAGCAAGCAAGAGAGGAAGAAAGAGAGAGAAAGATAGAGAAGAGAGGGCGACAGTGATGGCGCACAAATAAAAGTAGTCGTAGACGTAATAGACAATACTCTCCCATGCACACACACGTACACACACCACAAACACACGCGCATTGACAATAGCGCAAGACAACGGGCGCAAAAAAAAAGCAAAAGCAAAAAAATTACTTTGGACGACTCCCGCCTCCTTGCTCTCCTAAACGTTGCCATTATCTTCATTTGTTGCCGCCGCTCTGATCTATTTGTCTGTTTTCTTTGTGCGCAACGTGCGCGCGAGTAGAGTTTCCAGCACCAATCACCACTACCAACTACCCAACACCTCCTGCCCCCCCCCCCCCCCCCCCCCATTACCTCACTGCCATTCTCCTACCCAGTGGCGAGCATCACGCCAAATTGGGCACGGGGCATTGGGTACTCACTCCTGTTTATCTTGTCTCTTGTGAACACACACACACACACAGAAACCGCACTCACATGGACTTGCAGGCCAACTTGAAGTGGTTTTCGAACACGTTTGTACGTACGTACATATGTACATACATATGATTGTATGTATTTGTACTTTATGCAAGCACAGCTTGAGCGACGGCGATGCCGTAAGCGCGAAGTTGGTCATAACAATCGTAAAAGTTTGCCAACTTGTTGTTGCCACTGCTGCTGTTGTTGTTGCTGTGATGTCTGCGCCAGTGCCAGACTGGTTGTTGTTGTTTTTGTTGGTGTTGCCGCTTGCTAGCCGCAACAACATTCGCTTTTTTGCGTCCAGTTACGATTTTGCCACAGAGTTGCCAGACTAAGCATAACTATGCATATTATATTTGAATCTAATAGAAGAATTGGAGAGAAATTAAGAAAGAAGGGAGTATTTGTCCAAACTCGTCACAACTTAGCTCACAAATGTCGATAAGTCAAGGAAACTCATTAAAAGCAATAATGAATTATAAAATATTGTGAATAATTATAATTATTGCTTTTCCTCATTTTTTATAACTTTTCAAGTCATACATTTGCTTCAGAAATCTGAACAAGTCTGAATTATAATTATATGTATGTACACACTCGTATACATATGTATGTGAATTAAATTCTATGTATTTATCACAGCTGTGCAAATGAATAAACGTTTTTATTTTTGTGGCCTCCCGACGACACTTTACAAAAAATGAAAACACCTAAATTTGTATGCTTTATATGCTATGAGTAATAGTCCCGAGACCCTACAGAACAATTTGTGTATGTAGTACATACATACATATGTACATACAGGCATATGAATGAACTTATTATTATTTGTTTTCTGAAATGAGGTGATGCGAGTATGTTCCGGTTTTCATTTCACTCGAAACGGCTGGAAAGTTCATCTGACAGTTATTGACCCTGTGCATATGCATTTGTATTTGGTCGGATCTTTGTGGCATTACAATGAATTAAACTTTCTTCCTGCAATAGTTTTGATAAATATTTCAATTACTATTTACATCAAATATTTACATAGTAATGCGGTCGGTCTAATGAAAGCACACACACTTCCATCATATAACAAATTGCCTTTTAACCAAATGCCTCATTAGCTTGCAGAGGCTGGGAGAGAATGTCGCTTCACCTATCGTATATTTTTTTTACCTTAAATTTAAGTTTAATAAGATTTCTTAAGAAATAGCAAATAAAATACGCGAAGCATTAATCGAAAGCACGATTCAATCTTTCAATTCATTGTTGCAATTTATTTAAACGAATTATGTAATTTGCATAAAGGTTTTTTTTTTTTAATACCAACAGCTGATTTGCTATCGAAATTTGTAATAAGAGAGGTGAGAGATCGGAGAGAAGTTGCGCACTTATTACTGCAATGTTAAGAAATGTCACTTCATTTTTGTGTCAGATCAGTGGCTGCTTGCCCTCGATCTGGCAACACTCCCCGACCGTTGTGGGTACGTACTTGTGTGTGCGTGTATTTTTATGTGTGTGTGTGTGTGTGTTGTCGACTAACTAGCAAACAAGCGAACAGCAGGGGGGTGGAGTGAGCAGGCGGACAGGCAGGCAACCAGTTTAGCTACTATTGTTGTTGTTATTGTTGTTGATGGAGCTTAGTGGTGCTGCTGGAGTGGTACGGGGACGAGGGTGGTACCAACTTGTTGCTGGGCGCCAAAGTTGTTGCTGCCGCGACGGACTCACTCTGCGCTGCTGTAGCTTTATAGCTTGGCTTGGTTCGTTCGTTCGCTGGTTGGTTGGTTGTCTGCTTGCCTGCTTCATTCGGCTCTTTGGACAGCATTTTGTTGTTGCATTTAATGTTAGTTTTTTGGCGTTGTTGTTTTTGTTGTTGGCTTGAACTTGAGCTCTATACATATGTAATTGCTGATGGTGTTGTTGTTGGTCGTCGGTCTGTAGTTGGTTTTGGTAGTTTGGCTACGCTTGGCGAAGTGAGCGCGACTCACCATGAATGTACGTATGGTTATGTGTGTGTGTGTGTGTGTGCGCGCTGTTGGGTTGCATAACATGTTACAGCATCGCATGAAAATGAACACACCAACGGCGGCGTTGGCAGCGACTTCGGCGCTGGCGTGGGCAGAACGGAGCAGGCGTTCCAAAAACTGAAACTGATGACGACACACAGCAGCAACTAAAACAACAACAACAATAACAACAGCAGCAATGACAACTACAGACATTTGATTGGTGAATTGCTGTAGAAGATGAGTATACCAAGTTATTGGGAGGGAGGCAGAAGGAGGTTGTTGGCTAAGCTGTTGCTGCTGCTGTTGTCGTTACAGTTGCTGTTAACTTTTAAGCAGCTATGGCTGCGAGAAGTTGATGTTAGAGGTTCCCTCCAAAAACGATTGTGTGTATGATTTTGCATGCTTTATATTCCTGCGTTGTATATACTATACATACATATGTATGTACATAATCGAATGTATGTGTGTGTGCGTGTGCGCGTAAGATTGTTGTTGCTGCTTGTTGTGTTGGTTAATGGCTGGAAAATTATAACATTTCGTTTTTTTGTTGTTTTCCTCGTTTTCGTTTCTCGTTTTGTTTTTTGTTTTTGCAATATCATTGCAAGCGCTTACAAAAATAGCAACAACAATAACAATGGGTTTTGTGCTCAGGCCATGTAAGTTGAACGTCTTGCTGTCTCAGTCACAGTCGACGTCGCTGCGCAGTTGCGTCTGCGCGCTTCGTTGGTTATAGGTCAAGTTAAAAGTAAAAGTACCTCCAAAAACATTTTCGCCTCTTGGCAACACCCTTTTCCTCTACATCGCGCCAGCCCTCCTCCCTCTTACCAAATGTTTGTTACGTATCCAAAAAATAATATACATGCATACATACATATATATAGTATGTTTGTTGGCAGTTATGGAAAACAATTAACTAATCCATTGCCTAATTTCTTGATCGTTTGCATTTGCAGATTGGCGTCGACTCACAGCAACAACAACAGCAATTGGAGCACAGTCTGGAGGCTAAGGAGCAGCTGCAGCAACAACAGCAGCAGCAGCAGCACCATCAGCTTCAACTTCAGCAGCAGCATCAACAGCATGCATATCGTCTCCATGGTGCTTTGACTCGCACCGTCTCACAGCCAGCGCAGCAGCAGCGCCAACCGCTGCCCGTCCACTTTTCGACAATTAACGCTCAGGAGCAGCCACAGCCACCACCACAACAGCAGGTTGCCTCATTGGTGACCATCATCGAGAATCTGGGCAGCATGAATCTGCATCGCAAGTTGGAGCGCACGCAGTCGGAACCATTGCCACAGCAGCCGATGAACACTTCTCGGTAAGTTCCAAACTATTTCTCTGCTCCTTTCTTGCTTTCTTTCCCCAATTCATTAAAGTACTGGGAGGATACACAATTCTCTTCGACTTCCTTCTTAACTATACTGATTGAGTATTTAAATGGTATTCTCCCAGAGTTTTCTCGACAGAAAACATTTAATTTAGTTTTGATCGTTTTGTGAAGCCTCAAATCTATAAAAAAAAAAGAGTGGGACCTGTTGAAAAACATCCGATTCGGAATATCCAATTCTGAGAGAGTAGATGTTTGGGTTCCGTTCAAATTTGTATTTCCTTTTATTTAAATTAATTTGCAAAATCTCATCTCTACATTTCCTTCCTTTCTCTCTCTCTCTCTCTTGTCGTCTTTGCAGCTACAAGACGGAATTGTGTCGCCCCTATGAGGAGGCCGGCGAGTGTAAATATGGGGAGAAGTGCCAGTTCGCTCACGGATATCATGAGTTGCGGAACTTGCAGAGGCATCCAAAGTACAAAACTGAATATTGCCGTACATTCCACAGCGTTGGCTTCTGTCCTTATGGGCCGCGCTGCCACTTCGTCCACAATGCGGATGAGGCGCGTGCGTTGCAACAACAACAACAGCAGCAGCAGCAGCAACAACAGAAGCAACAACAACAGCAGCAATCGACTAACTTTAACCTCAACACAGTCAATAACAACAACAACAACAGCAGCAGCAACCACAACAATAATACCAACAGCAACAATAAGCAGCACAACAATAACAACAACAATAGTCAACAGCCTGTGACCGCCATTAGCCAATACTTCCTTCCGCTCAGTCCACCACTGAGCATGTCGACTGGTTCTGACCGTGAATCACCCACTGGTTCCTTGTCCCTCAGTCCTACCAACTCATTGACCAATTTCCCCTTCAATGATGCCATGCAACAGCAGCAGCAGCAACAACAACAGCAACAGCAGCATGTACGCGGTGGCGGTTATATGAGTCTGGCCGGCGCCACGCCTCCCGAGAGTCCTAATGCACCCATATCGCCGGTGAACACGCCACCTCCATATAATAGCAAGCCTCTGGAGTTTGCTTCGCTGTCGACGGCCACATTAGTCTCAGCAGCCGTCGCCACCGCGACACCGTCTCCTTGGCCCGGTGCAAGCACGCCATTGGCATCGTCGATCTCATCGACTTTATCGGTATCGACATCGATATCGACACTCTCTTCGTTAGCTTCGTCGTCTTCCAAGTCTTCCAGTGATAATAAGCAAATGCTTCAAAAAAGTTCCAGCACACCCTGTGACTGCAACCATGTGACCATTGGACACGTTGGCGCTGTCCCAACGGTTCCGGTTCCAGTGGGGGTTCCAGTCGCTGTCGAGGACGCGCCCCGTCTGCCCGTCTTCAATCGACTGAGCTCAACAATGGATGCTTATCAGCAGCAATAAAACAATTTCGGACTGTAAACAACAACTTAACATTACAGCAACAGAGCAGCTTCAACAAACAACATTAACGAGTAAAACAACAAAAACACAACGCACAAATTTGATAAAATCTCAATCTACTACTACAGCAACGACAACAAAAATCATTGACTACACCAACAAAAAAGAATAAGAAATGAAATGTAACACATGCAACAAATGTTGGCATGCTGCCTTCCCTGCTTAGCCAAGACACATACCGCACTGTTAAACAACATACACTATCACTACTATTGTTGCTGCTCCTGCTTAGCTAAGCCACAAACCCAGAGAATATTGAGTGGCAGCACTATTTCAATTTCATTATTTGTTACGTTTTTTATTTGATTTGATTTTCTTTACTTTAATTTTTTTTATTATCACCACCAGCTTGCTCAAATTACTTCTTTAGTTTCCTTAGTTAATTTCTATTTAATTTATTTGATTCTGAAATTGTTTTTAAATTCATTATTTGTTCATTATTATTTAAAGATGATGATGGAGCTCTGAGTTTGTTTTAATTCTTTGCATTTGCAAAATGAATGCCCCCGCTTATGTAAGAATTCTTAAACGTACGTTATAAGTGTGATGATTTCATGATTCTCCAGCGATCTTTGGCAACACAAAGTGCATTATATATTATTATAATTATTATTATTTTTTATGTACATTAAATATAAATGCATAGTCTGTTAAATGCACACACACACACACACATGCACACACTACATGTTTACATTAAACTGTTAAGATGTACATGTCAGCTGTTTAAACCGTTTTATTGTGTGTGTGTGTGAGAGAGAGATAGATATAGCGCACAATACGTAAAAATCAAGCCTGACAAAACGATGAAAACCACATCCAGACATACTCACAGACATATGTACACATACTACTATAGGCCCAGTACTACGTACATGCAAGAATTACCGTTTCATTGCTATACTATATACATACTTCAATAACTTAACATTTGTGATTATCCTGGGCACGCAGGCAGGCAGGCAGACAGACATCGATTACTTTATAAATGCACTTTGTTTGCCTAAAAAACAAACAAACAAACAGACAGACAGACAGAGCGATAGTTAGTTAGATATATGTACGTACGATCCAGACTGGAAATACTTATACAATATGTATGCTTTCTTCACCCAATTGACCGATTTGAGGCAAAAGCTACGAGATGAAAGTACTCAGCCCGAACAAAGCTACTTCCTTCAATAATATCCCAAAATCCACTCGACAGAAACGATTTTAGTTAAACTGCGCGTCTGGCGGCGCCTCAAATCTCTGAGAAAAGTTGCTTGAAATTGTTGGAAAAATTCGCGTTTGTCGTCGTCTAGTCTCTGATTTCAACAATGATCTGTAGTAGTACCTACAACAAAAACAAAAATGAAGAAGAATTCTAGACAAGCAAAGTGGGGCGCGCACGTCTTCCATGAAATACCTCTTAAAGTTGATGATAACCATTAAAGAAATGCATAATTTTATTTTTAAAAAGAAAATAAGGGAATGAAGAAATGCATAAATATTTTTACTTTTTTGTATGAATTTGAAGTTTTTTTTTGTTTTGTTTTTAAATAATTTATTTCATATGCAAAAAAAAAACAAACGAAACAAAAGAAGGGAAGGAAGGAATATTTAATATGCAATTAAAGTTAATAATTTATGAAACCAACACACATACACACACACGTTCATATGACGCATACGGATGCATACATTCTTTGACCATTGATACACACATACACACACATAAATATACATACGAGAGCTATGTATGCGTTTAATAATAATATTATGAATAACATTAATAATAGCTTGTTTATTATGCTATCTTATTTATTTTACAAAGTTTTTTCTTATTTCTGGGTGCAGTTATGTAATTCTAGTGTTATGCCAACAACAACTATCTATAAACAAACCAACAAACATACATATATACGTATATATAAACTTTATATATAATAAATAAACAAATATATATTTAAACTATTTATACGCACGACTATATAAAGCGCAACAATTGTGGAGGTTTAAGCGCAGATTTTGTGTCAGAATATATACATTTATATATATATATATATACATATATATATTTTTCATACAAATCCATTACTATATCAGCTAATTATGTTGCTGCTCTGTAAATTAATAATAGTTTTTAAAAAGCAAGCAAAAAGAAATCGAAAAGGAAATTTAACTGAATTTGAAGGCAAGGCAGGGAGTTGCCTTAACATGCTATTTAATTAATTTGTAACACACACACATACATACTATATATGTATAGAATAATTATAATGCTATATATGCGCATCGTGTCAAAAATAATGCCTCTCCCCCCCAGCGCAAAGTTCTGCTCGGTCGTTGTAATTTGTAAACAAACAAGAAACAAACAAAAACGCCTTAACAACAATTATTCGCTGAATTTTGTATTTATGCCTTAAGCCGTATTATATACTATATGTATATTTTTATGTATACATACTTATGTACAATACAATAACAACAAACAGCAAGTAAAGAGTTTCGACAGCAGAAAAAACAAGATTGCCGCGCGCTTAAAGCAAATTGTGGGGCTTGAAATTCTCAAAAGTGCCTTATCATTACTTTATATATAAAGAGACACACACATATATATACTTATATATATATACATAATATACAAAAAAATGTTAATAACTAAAGGGAAGCACAAATGCTTGTGTATAGTTTTAAAGAAAAGAAAAAACAAACGTCGTTATTTGCGTGCAAAGAAAGGCATATTTATTATTTATTTTATATTATTATTACTATAATTATTTTATTTTATTTCCCACTTTTTTTTGTATTTAAATGCTAAAGGTTTACGTTTTAATTAATGAATTAATTAATATATATATATAATCTATAACTATTACGATTTCGATTTATGTGGCTTCAATGGCTTCGTTTTTCTTTTGCTCTTCCTTTTTGTAAAACAAACAAAACAAAGAAACCCTCAAGCTTTTGGCAAATTGTGTGCCCTTTTGTTTTCAATATCTGATATATGAAAAGAAATTATATTGTAAACATAATTTAAGTGAGTCTTCCTACCAATTCCCCCCTTTCCCCATCTCCTTAAAGCCCTTCCCCAACTCAATGTTGAAAACAATCTGAATGCCAGTTTCTAATTTATAATGCGTTTATTTTATACCTTTATAACGATAACTATATATCATCGATCTATCTATATTTATAGCTACATTATGTGTAAATACAACAACAACAGCAAAGCAAACTACAAACAACGAAAAAAGACAAACAAAACAAAAACAAATCCAATTGATTGTGCCTCGGATCTAAATTGTTTTTATCGAAGAATTGCTGAATGCTTCCAAGCACGAAATGTGTGCGTATTTTTATTATTATTATTATTATTAATAAATGGTTACAACTAGCGAGTACAGCGAGGAGAACATTAAGTTTATGCCCATTTTTAAGTTCATTAGCAGTGTAAAATAAAAGCGTTCAAAAAAATAAATCTTCGACTTTTATTTATCATATCGTAGCATCGGTTCTAATGTGGCAGACACACCTGTAGTTGGATGTTCACACCACAGCAGACAATTGGCCAACTGAAAATCGGGCCGGTTTTGTTAACGTTTTGTAGACAATTGGCAAGAGACTCTCGCGTGATTCGATCTAGAGCTGCAAAAATAATCGACCAATACTTTGGAGAATCGATTGTTCATATAACGTAAAATGCATACCTGAATTCGTACATGATTTCTGGAAATTGAAAAAGACGAAGTCGTGCTTAGAGAGGCATGATTATAGTTGGTTTCAAGTGTAGAAAGACGGCCGAAATTGTTTTAAACGGCTAAGTCCATAGGATTTCCAGTCCAATCAGCAAAAATGTTTCAATGAACAAATTATCGAACTATCAACTTTTATTTGCAATTGAGTTTGAAAAAGAAATCTTGCTTTCGATATCTTTTTAGCTGCAGCCCGAAAGTATGCTATACTTTTTAAAGGCCCGTGATAGCTGCAACCCCAACCGGCGGCAATTAGGCGAAATATCATCAATGGTTGACTTATTTGGCTGCTATTGCGATTAACAAATGCATTTCTTGTTTAACTTTGGTTATATTTTTATTTAACTTAACTTGTTCTTCTTCGTCATCTTCTGCTGCTGCTTCTGTGGCAACAGTTGCGTTTTCACATTTTGTTTAATCATATAAATGGAGACACTATTTATAATTATAATATGTATGGTATATGTAGGTAAATATAATATATAGTATATATATTTATAATATTAAACATGTAGTATAATTTATGTAGCATACAAAAAAAAAATCATTTTTTTCGCGCAAAAAAAATAAACAAAAATATTCTTAAGACGACGAAGTGTATGTGTGTGTGTGTTATAACTGAATGCATTGCTCATGTGTGCGTACATGTGTGTATGCGAGTGTGTGTGTGTGCGTTTGAGGACAGCACATACACACACGACCACACACACAGACGACCGACCATGGACCACCGACTACCCACTGTGGTGCACTCTGGTGGCCAGCAGAGAGTAGGTGTGGTTCTTGGCTCACTGTGGCTTCTGGTTCTTTGGTGCTTGTTGTTGTTGCTGCTGCTGCTGTTGTTGGGTCTCGTAGCGCTGACGCAGAGCGGTGAGTGCGCTCAACAGCCGGCTGTTGGCGGCATCGAGCGCCGCTATCTGTTGACCCTGCTCCTCAATTACGCGCTGCTTGTGGGAGAGCGCAAGCGACATTTTCAGCTGCTCCCGTCGCAGCTCCTCCTCCATGGTGATTAGCCTGCAAACAGTCGCATTACTTTGTGCATGTGCCAGAGCGAGACAGCGATAGTTGTGTATGTTGGACTCACCTGTCGATAATGCTGCGCATCGTCGACTCCGACTGCAGGCTGAGATTGTTGGAGCCGTTGCTGCCGCCTAAGCCTCCACTGCCGCCGCCACCAACGCCACTGCCTGTCGGACGCTGGAGGGCGAACAGCTCGTCACTGGAGTCGCGCAGCTCGGCCTCGTCCCGATCGAGCGTGTGCCGGAGCGTGTCCAGCGTCTCCTGCAGCAGCTGAATCTCTCCATTCTGGTCGTAGCTCTTGTTTAGCGCCGCCTCCTGGTGATTGTTGCTGTTCCGCAGCTGCCGCCGTCTCTTCCCCTCCTGCAGCTGTGCGCAGTGACCTAAAATAATAGCGAGGGTGGAGCAGTTTTTAATAAGAATTCTACTTCGAAAATCGAACCAATCCCAAGGTTTCTCCTCTCCGTTTTCTTTACAATTTTAGTGCCAGAAAGCTCTCTTGGCCGGACACTCACGATCGGCCAATTTTTGTTCGCCCACGAGGAGTGTTAGCTTAAGGGGATACTTAAATACTTTATACACCGATCGAATGTTTTAGAAAAAGTGTCCGCCGAAGAGAGTGGCCGGATTAAAGAGGAGTTAAGGGAGTTTTCACTGTAGTTGGTAAGTTAAATAAGTCCCCCCCCTTTTTTCGTTTACATAGGATCTCTCCATTGGTATCTCTCTCTCTAAACCAGATAGTTGATATCGGAATTATATTATCTATAGAGCAAGTATGTAATGACGTATGGTAGATAACTAGCATTACAAAAGCTATAGCTATACTGACTAGGTAGTTGTCCTTTTCAATCCAACTCCAGATGATAATGAAGCCAGATTTGAAATACATAAGTTATATATTTAAGTACTTCTTTGGGCGAGTCTCGGGCACGTGATATTTCCTAAACTAACCCCATTTGGTCACTCACCCTCCGTGTCCGTGCTGCTGTCTGAGAGCGTGCGCGCCGAGTCGAGGCTGAGGCGTCGCTGATAGCGTCCGCCGCTGTGATTGCCGGCCGGACCCACAGAGGCGTCCGGATGGACATCGGAGCCGCCGCCGCTGGCATTGCTGCCCGCATATTGTTTGTGCTCCTGGGCGGCCAAAGCATTGGGTGTGGACATAGCATAGCCGTTGTTGCCACCACTGCCACTGCCACCGTTGCCATTGCCGTATACCATCAAGCCGTTGCTACCGTTTCCGTAGACATCCTCGCGCTTTAGCAGGGCATTCGCCATACGCCCGTAGGGCCCCAGACATTTGGCATTCTTGCTGGACGCAGACGAGTTGCTGCCACCGCTGAGCGAACGTTGCGCCTCCAGATGGCCGTCCGATGGTGAACGCATTGGCTTCGATAATGCATTGGCATTAACGGAGGCGCCAGCGGCTGCGGCCGCTGCATAGCTATAATAGCTGTCCGCCGAGAGCTGTTCATCCGACGAAGAGGGTGTGAGGGTGGCGGTATCTAAGGTGCCGCCGCTGTTGAGAAAGGCGGCACGGGCCGCCACAATGCCGCCACCTATGGGCTTGGCACGGCCGCTAAAGCTCAGCTGTTGATGCAGCACCTGTTGGGGTGTCGTCGTCGTCGTCGTTGTGGGATGATGGGGATGTGGTTGGGGTTGGTGGCGCTGTTGGGGATGCAGCTGATGGGAGGGCTGTTGCAGTTGATATGAGGGATTCTTGAAAGCCAGCGGGGCAACACCTGGCTTCTGTCCCGCAGCCAGTTGACTCTCGACGGGACTGGAGGACTGCGAGGGCGAGGGATTTGTGGAAATGCTTTGGTAACCGGAACTGCAATGACTGCTCTTTGCCGATAACTGTTCCTTTGCGGACTTGCCAGCATGTGCGGACTGTTGCTGCTGTGCATGTTGTGGATGCTGTTGCTGGACGTGATGGTGATGATGGTCGCTCATGTCGTGCTCTTCGGCGTATTTGAGCAAATCGTCCAGATCCTCCAGATGCATCGGCATATTCGAGTTCGAGTTGGAGTTCAGATGCGACGCCGCCAGTGGCCGTTGTGTTGGTGGCGGCTGCTGATATTGCTTGGAGTGATCGGGTATACCCAGATTTAGCTTGTGGCTTCCCTCATAGCTGAGACTCACATTGGAGTTGTGCAGCTGTTGTTGCGGTTGGTGCTTTTGTTTCCGAGCTGCGCCGCGGTGCACGCTGCCTCCGTTGCCCTTCAGCATGGGCGTGGGGGACTTGCGCACAAAGGCGCTGCTCGTGTCCAGGCCGGAGATCTGTATGAACTCGCCGTTCATGTCGTCGTAGCTACCACTACTGCTATTGTTGTTGTTGTTGCGAGGCAGCGTGCGCGATGTGGAGGTGCATGCTCCGTCGTAGTCATTGCCATTGTGCGGATTACCGCTGCTGGCCAGCGAACCCAAGCTACTAACCACATACGGATAGCCCTGTCCCGGACCCGAACGCTCTAGACGATCCATTGTGCTGGCCGCGCTCGTCTGTGGTGCTGGCGGACAGTGCGAGCCATGTGGTGCCGGCGGTGGATGCAGCAGCAGATTGTTGCTGCTGCCATTGAGCGATGAGGAAGCCATCGAACTCTGCGACTGCGCGTGCTGAAGCACCGGCGAGCTCATGTATTGTGAGGCTCCATTGTTGTGAACGCCGGCTATGGAGCTCTGAGAGTTGGAGTGCATCTGCAGTGGATGCGGATGCTGATGGGCATGTGGATGCAAAGCCTGTTGCTGTTGTTGCTGCTGCTGTTGTTGTTGTTGCTGCTGCTGCTGAAGCATTCCATTTACCGTTGGATCGTTGTAGCGGAAAATGTTCTTCTCAAGCGCACTGGGCGTGAGAACGCCTCGCATAATGCCGCGCTCGGCGGGCACGGGTTTGGTGACGACCGCATGCTGGGGTTGGGGCACTTGGGCCTGTTGTTGTTGCAGCATGGATCCGGCGGATGTGGCTTTGCTGGCATCTGGATTGCGGTTTTCCTGATTCTCGCTGGCCGCTAGGGAAAGGGAGGAGAGCACTGTGGGTAGATAGCCGTGCTCCTTGGCCTTGCTGATCTCGTCGAGTATGTGCTGCAGCGGATCGAGTTCGTGCTGACGCGCCTCGGGCAGCTTGCCAATACTTTCGCTCAGTAGACTGTGGAGTATGGAGAGCTGCTTGCCCTGATCTATATAGCCGGCCCAGTCGAGTATGGAGTCGGGCGTCGCATGCTCCGGCCTTGTGGAGATTATCTCGAGGAACTGTTGCATGCGTTCCGCCTCCTGCTCGAGGAAGTCGTTGAGAAACTCCATGAAGTTCTCCTTCCCCTGGAAGCGTGTGAAGTTCGCCAGGGTTTGCAAAGTTTTGGCGACGAGCGTCAGATTACGAGTGGCCCTCGAGGAGGGCAGCTCGCTGGTGATGTTGAAGAGCGAAGGCGATAGGATTGCGGGGCAGAGGAAGCGCAAGAATATTGAGGCAGAGATCAAGTTATCGGCCATATCCTGGCGTCCCAGATGCTGCAGTCGCTCGCGGAAGGTCGCGAAGCAGGCGCGCAGCTGGGGCGGAAAATGCTTGTGTGACTCATAGATGCATTGCCAAGTGCTGCGAACGGCGGCGCGCAGTGTCGCCTGATGGCGTTGCAAGGAGCCGGCGGAGGCACTGCCCGCCTTTGTAGGATCTACTTCGCAGTCGCGGTCCGATTGGATGAGCTCGTTGATAGGCGCTGAGAGCGTGTCCTGCAGATATTGTTCGCCGGTGAGTTTCAGGAAGGCCTCCATGCTCTTGGTGGCCAGCGAATTACCGCGAAACGTCAATCGTTGATCGCCGACACGGAGCAGATCGAGAGCCACCACATCGGTTAGGAAGGCTCCGGCCAGACCCTGAGCATGCATCAATAGTACCAACGCCTGTCCAATATCCTCCTTGGCCTTCACACCAATCACTGGCTCGAGAGTCTCGCAGACCCTCTTGTAGTTGTCCTTGAGGTAGGCCAGAAAGTTGGCGTACACATTGATGGGCAGTATATCGGTGCTCTGGAAACGGCACTTGATCCGCAACGTCGGCACCACCACCTTGTCCTTGGTACTGCCCCGACCAAGACTGTCGATATCCTTCGCGTTCACTATCGGATACCAATCCTCGCAGACCGATTTCGGTGTTACCTCATGGACGGGTATCTTCACCGAGCCCACGAATTGGTATTTGTCGCGTTTCTTCTTCTTCTCCACCTCCCGGAAAACATTGACGGTGATCAGATTGATTTCGGGTATGTCGAGAAAGTCGAAGTACTCGCCCCAGAATAGCAGATCCGTCTGCAGCTTCACACTGGTGCGGCCGTAGAGCGTCTTGTCAAGCTGCAGTTCGCAGAAATATTTCTTTTTGGCCGGCAAATTTTTGGCCTCGTACACCCACAACTTCAGGGAGTTGTCGGTGCGGCGTGTGTGCTCCGCATTCGGAGCAATTGACTTGCGCAGCGAATATATCCACAGATCCCGCTCCTGACGCGATCCGCACGAATAGTAACGCTCTCCGCGCGGCCCGCCGCGCACCTGAAAGCAGTGCCGTCGACCCAATACGGACTGATGTACGGGTGCCACGCCCACAGCCCCAGTACAGGAGAGATCTGCAAATGGTCCCGAAAGAGTTAAACAGAAATCTCGGATGACTAACTCAGCCATTACTCACCGATTGTCGACATGACGGCGTGACTGGACAGCAGACTCTCATGGGAGCGCGAGCCCCGCAAGCCTCCCGAGCCACGTTTGGTTCGCTCCAATTTCGTCACCGACTTTGTACGCTTGAGGGGATTTGATCTGCAACGGAATGCATACATATATAAAGGGTTTGTTTTCTTCTTCTTTACCTTATCATCTCACTCACCTTTTGGAAAAGAAATTTGTGAAGCGTGAGGTGGCATTATGCTCAGGCTGATGCTGTTTATTGCCTAGAATGGGCGTTGTGGGTGCCGAGCCGCGTCGACATGCCTTCTCATATGACGTATCTGAAGAGATTAGGGAAAAGAGAGAGATGCAAATAAGTATTGAAAAACTAAATACCGAAAAATTAGCTTCCTAATCCTAATTTAAACTAATCGCCAGGCTTTTGCTCAAACGGGAAGTGTCCATAATCTTATATTTCTTAACAAGTTAGTTCTTGTTGATGTAAACTCATAATCTATTTATCATCTTAGCTCGTCTTTATGATTCTGTTATTTGTAGACCAGCTAGGAACAATTTGAGGGTTTTGTTCAGATTAAATGTAATCTTTCTATCAACAACTTTATCAAGAAATCTCTCTGCTACGTCTTTGCTTATCATTTATTTAAAAAATTGAATCTTTCAGTTGACGTTTGGCATTAAGGGTATTGGCGATTGGCTAAAGGCCAAAACGAAAAAGTTCAATTATTAAGTAGCCTCGCATTTAGAAAGTAGTCGCATTAACTATTGTCTCCCCTTCTATCTCTTTCTCTTCGATTTACGAATTTGTTGTTGTTTTAATCGAAATTTTTGTATTGCATTTAGAAACTTGTTTCCAAACGGTTCTTTAAGCCACAATTGGCTTCGCTTAAAGTATTTGTTTCAATCGATGTGTAGACGATTTTGTGGTTTACGTGTTGTTTTTTTTTTATATTTTTATTTTTTTTTTTTTGGTAAATGATTCCGTAAGAAAAACTCGTTTGTTTTCTAACTCCTTCCCCCTGCCGCCAAGCAACACTCCTCCCCCCTTCATTACCCTTCAGCAACAAAGCAATTGAGTTGGCAATCCCAAGCAGCTGCTGCACATCACCTGCCGTCGCCAGAGCTGATGAGCCAACCGCTCCGTCTCTCAGCAGGTAGCATTGCATGATTCATCATGAACCTCATTACCAAAAAGGCAGCAACAACAACGGGACTGCGACGGAGACTGGAAGGGGACTCCAAAAGCAAATGAAGAACATAAAGACGACGGCGACGGCGACTGCTGCTGCTGCTGCTGCGCCCTGCTCTGTGTTTGCTTCATTTGCTCCGAAAAACACAATACAACAACAAAAACAGCGCAACAACAAGACAGTACAAAACAATACAATATAACCACAGACACACAAAAATGCACTGAAAATGTACACGGAGCGAAACGAAAAAGCGAAGTAGAGAGGCTAGAAATAAATAAAGCGAAAAATAAATATTATTTTGAAAGCATTTAGGGATCCTTATTTGCCATTAACCCTGAACGAAGAGGTACACTCTTTACCGGGCGAAAAGCTAGCAGGACGACGGCTGTTCGTATGTATGAGCATCGATATTGTTTGAGTCGCTAGCTATAGGGTCAACAAACTTGGCATATGAACTTGTCTTCTCAACATGCATACCTAGTTTATTACACTCCTTGTATATCCTCGTTATTTTATCTAGCTGTCATAGGGCCGGTCGATGCTAAAATCACTGGTATTGGGAGCAACGTATCTCACTATTATTTCTAATCATAAAGGTTGAGCGAATACCTCATAGTACAAACAAATTGTTAAATTCTTTAATTGCAGCTTGTGTTGTCTCAAATATTTGGGCAAACATGCAAACATAGCTTAAAAACTTATTTCCAATCCCAAATACAAGTACGTAAATATTTCTGCAAGTGTACACACACATGATGCCATGATGCCCCTGAACAAGAAGAACCAAACAGGTTTCTCTGTTTCACTGTCTCTCCGTCGTTCTCGTTGTCTCTGTTCCCACTCTCTCCTTCATTCTGCCAGTCTGCTAGTCGGCCTGTGCCATTTATCCGCCCGCATAGGAATGGAAAACCGCTTTGCTGCCGCCGACCTTGTCAAAGACAGTCGAGCATCGCCTGTGGTCCTCCACCTACCTAGACAAATGGTCGAAGTCTTTCTGCATTCAGAGAAACAAATAACAACAACATTTTTGAGGAATTTCTACAAATCCCAAATCATATTCCATAAGCACGAGGGATCGGGTTTATTAATTAATTAATTGAGTAAAGATAAATGGCCTCTAAGGTTTGACTACCCGGGGAGTTGGTGTTGTTGTTGGAATGCTGTCAAATGTTCCCATTTATAATTAAAAGAAAACTTCTCCTAATGCAGAAGAAGACTGCTCTGCAATTGAAAAGTAGATGTGACTTTCTTTCCCTTTAAAATATGAAATCCATTCCATATTAGAAGCAGAACAATCGATGCTCGCTTTAAGAAATAAGTTTTTTATAAAAAAGATCTATTTAGTTTTATAGAAATATTTCACATACTTTCTACATAAATGTGAACAATCGTATCGTATGGAGATCGTATATTACTTGGTCCAGCCCCGAGAGAAAAAAGTATGTTAAAAAAATGTATATTTTCTTTTCTTGATATGATGATATACATTATATATTTAACACAATACTGACGCAAAGCATCACATCCTATCTACAACAGCGCATTCAGGATTGCTGATTGGTGACGAAGTAAGAAAGATCTTAAAACTTTAACTCTGCAGAGGGTTTTGAGGAATTCTTTATCTTCAATAATGATAGACGACAAGTTCTCATCTGTAAAAAACCTCAGGAATTCAAGATTGTGTTCAGGACTGGCCTCGTCAAAGCAAAATGACCTTCAAGCCTTTATTGTGAATAGAGAGCATTGAAAAGCTCTGGCGCTCTGGTAGTTCCTATCTAATGGAATTATACTACTTGTATATGCTATGTAGATGGTAAAAATATGACTGCACGCAATGGTTTTCAATGGCCTGACTTTGATTTGAGAGAAAGGCGCCCCCACTGCTTGCCATCTACATTATTGTCCATCGTTTCTTTGGCTCTCACTCTGATCCGAGCTCGGACTCGACCTGAATAACTGACTGGACTGACTCATCAAGGAGCGTAAACATTTGCGTTCGCATGCAAAGCTGGCATCAAAATAATAATACATAAAAAAAAAAACCATTCCATATACACTGTAAATTTTTTATGAGCATGCCTCTTCCGTGTTGATTCATTCCGGTGGCTGCAACGGCACAACCCCCAACATAAATACAAACAAACAAACACACACACACACATACATACATACTCGTATGCATGTGTATAGAAAAAGGCTTTTAAGTTTCCACCACTCTGAGATGCGAAAAGCACGATTTGTCATCAAAAGGCGAGCAGAGAAACGAAACAGAAACAGAAACAAAACAAAAAATCTTAAAACAAAGCTCGAACTCGACTGAATTGGCGAAATGAAAGAAGAAATAAAAAAAAAACCCAAAAGCTAAGAAATTGTGTCATGTTTGTTCGCACATCTTTTGCACGAACACTCACACACACACACACACACGCAAGCTTCTATTTATAAAAATGTCTATAAAAGATAAAAAACTCGTTGAATGTTGCTGTTCCTCTTAACTCTGATGAGTATCTGTATCTGCCTTAATAGGCGCAACCAAAGCCAAAGAACGCAACAACGCAACAGCCCCCACCACTTACAAAAATGGCGCACATTTTGAATTTCTATAACGCGCCCACACCCACACCCACATCCACGCCCACCTTCTACCTTCTGGCTAATATCAACACACAACACACACACACGCACCCGACAAAAGAGTTGCCATTATCAGAGGGTAACATCATAAGAATCATAATCTTCATCTCTATTGTTGGCCACTCAAGCATAGGAATCCGTCCCTCACTCCACAGCAGTCCACCAGACAGACAGATAGTCAGACAAACAGACAAACTCGTCCGAGTAATGATCCGAAGTTTGCAGCACTATTTGTTCGACCGAGTGCTGAGTTATCTTTGAAACCCTCCCACTAATAATAACAAGATGAATAAACCACAAAATGGCGCCCAGATTTTTACGAAACTTCGAAACAGACTGACGCATTATATAAAAGCTCATAGATGGAATATTTGGTTGTTCTACGGAGATTGTTCTTAATTACCGAGGCAATACACTTGTGTGCATTTTTGGAATTCTAAATATAGTCGATAGGCATAGCTAAGTGTACAATTTATTTTCTCTTCACAATTGGAAATATAAATGGGATTTCAAATAAATTTCTTTAACAAATAGCGGTCAGAATTTCTATATTTCCTTCTTCTATGGCCTCCAACCCTGCGAAACTATACACCTTTTGTTGATCGCAAAGAATCTCTGGGCCATTTGCCTGGCTGGTTGACAACAGTCCACATCGGAGACGTTTAAAGATGCATTATTCACTTAAAAAGGCAACTAATTTTCCCCACTTTTCAAACAAAACATTTAATAATAATCCCTTTAAGAACGGATTTGAAATAAAAAGACAAGTCCCGCCATCTTCATATCTAGTGAGTCAACTGCTAAATTAATTATCCGGGAATTCTGCAGCAAACTAAATATAGTGGATATAAAAATTCATGTCCATTCATGAAACAGCAACTAACTAACTTCTCAACTAACCTAATCGAACAACTTTACGTTGAGCAATGGACTCTGCATTTGTTTTGTTTTTAGCAACTCGTATAATTTAATTATTTCTCATATTACTCTACACTTTTCTTAAGCCCTTTCCTTTCCCTCACGTATCATCAAATTGAAACACGTAATTTATTAGTTTCCGATTGTTGTATCCATGAGCAGATGATCACAGTCCTACGAATGAATCTGTTCTTGACCCTTCAGCACAATTTGTAGTTAAAATTGTGACGGCATAGCACTTGAAGGTGCTTTAATTGGCTAAGATTTGTCGGCTACAAATTAAATGCAAATTATTGCATGGATCGAAAGGGCAATTGACAAAATTAATTTAGAACAATCAGACTAGACACGTTTGATCACTGAAGTAGATATATATTCCCAGCTACTGATTGTTGGAAATCTCAACTATTCGCACAACTAACTAACGAGTACTTGTAAGATAAATATACATATAAACAAAATACTTTATATAATACGAAGCTGCTAACTGGGCCCATAACTGGCATATTGAGGATAACTCGACATTGTTGTTTAATCTTTATTTCATCCACTATTATTCGAGAAATTAAATGTTATTCTATTGCGAGTCTTTCAGAAAGTCAATGTTCTTCAACTAATTAGCAAGTGAGTTGACAATAACAAGAAAGCTCCTAACTGGCTGTATATGCGAATATAAGATATGTTCGTGAAGATGCCACAAATGATCATTATTTTCAACCTCTAACTATTCCGTTTTTAATAACTAATAGCAAACACTTTTACCTACAAAGATGAAATAATCTTCGAATGTGTTAATGATATCATATTTTCTTGCCTTTTCGTGCACAGTTCGTGGCGTTTAATTTGCCAATTCTATTTTAGAGATTGTTGCTTTTGACCACATATGGTGGGGCCAGGGCCTACACATGTATTACAACAGCAACAATAACAATAACAACAACAATAACCATATTGTAACAATTTGGGCAAAAGATGATGAGCAACAATAATTAAGTGACGATGCGGCTGTCGCTGTCGTTGTCGACCTCCAGCGAAGTGCCGCTCTGACTTCATTTTGTAACCCCAGCAATTTCAGCATTTTATTTAAAGTTTTTTTTTCTGAGTCAGTCTTCATTGTCAGTTTTCAGACTCTTCTATCTGACGATAATTTAAAATGAAATTTCAGATTGGAGCAGCTACTGAGGGCGGGCAAGCGACCTCCTCTTGACTCCACAGCTATTTAGGTTTGTACATACATACATACATTATGTATATGTGTGTGTGTGCGTATGCGTGTGTGTATAGAAGCAGCTCGGGAAGAGAAAGCGATTGGAATCGATTGGCTTTAGCTTTAGTGGCGGCTCTTGGGGCAGCAACGCTAACTGTGCTACGTACTGGCGATAAGGTCAACTCAATTATCAGTGCGTTAAACAAATTTTTGTGCTTTGTCGATAGATAGAGCAATGGCGTCCATCATTTTGCATTTGGAAAATGTGTGAAGGAACCGAATAGGTCCGCAAGCAGATGCAACTCTGCGATCTGAGGCAGTGATAAAAAAAACAACATAAAATATTGAGTCCCATCGATCAACAAGCATATCCCACACATACACATCCACACATCCATATGTGCATGCATACAAGTATGTAAGTACACATAACAATGTTTGTAGAACACATGTGTACATACATACATATATTTACATTAAAACATACATATGTGTATCTATAATATATGTATGTTACGAATGTGTGTAAGTGTGTGAGGCTTTATCGTAAACCCTCCTCGGCTTGTGTCGTTCGATGGACATTTGAAAGGCCGCTAAGCGGGCAGTATAGTACAATAATAACAAGAACAACAACAGCAAAACGAAACTGTTACAAAAATGTTTCCTCTTATCAAATTTCAAATAAAATGCAACCGTGTGTGTTTGACCATGTGTGTGTGTGTGTGTGTGTGTGTGTGTGTGAGTGCGTGTGGAAGTATGCATGCATGTGTGCGCTTGAGAATGCAAGAGCAACGGCAACTTGAAATCGACAACAAGAACAACAGCAACAACAACAGCAACACCACAAATGCCAGAGAAACAATTTGAGTTTTGAATAAAGCGGCTCGTTTGTTTGCCTGTTTTACGCACTCTCTCTATACCCTGCAGAGAGTCTTAATGGCATCTGTGTAATAGCCTAAAGGAGGAGTTCTAGGCACACACACTCATATGTAATATCTATGCATGTATGTATGTATGAAGGAACAAATCTATATGCAGCCATAATATCATGGATTTTGAAGTGTCTTACAATTTATTTAATATACATAGCTTGAACAATTGCAGAAAAAATGTCTTCAAGCTGAATAGAATAGAAATATGCAAGCTGCTATAGGAACGACGGGTGCTGAGATCAATTGGTTTTCCTTGAAAATGCTTCAGCCATAATTTATAAGTTATTATTTATTTACATATTGTGTTTGTTTTCATTACCGCACTGTGGTGGGTAGAGGGTATGCAAGAGTAGAGCTCGCACTACTTTAGCATTCTACTTATTTCGCTCTCTCTCGCAATGCTAGTTGAGAGAGAGCGTCGCTCGTTGCCAAACTGGTTTCTTGTGCGGGTGTATGTGTGCGTTCGGCAATGTATGCGTGTGATTCATAACTAAAAAAGAAAAGGAAGGCCAAAAAAAAGAACCAACAAGGCAACGAAATTGAAATTGTAGTCAAAGAAAGAGCCGAAAGTACAAGTATCAACAGAATGCTGAGCGATGGCTGACGAGGACGGCGTCAAGCGTCGCACACTATGGAAGAGGAATTTGTTTGGGCTGGAAAAAGATCATAGCATATGCTAGATCCAGCTCTAGGCTCTTAGAGAATCGAGATCCTCTTGCAATCGAAATAATAATAAACAACAATTTCATTCACAATATACAGTGCGCACTTTAACAAAAATGTTGACGTACAAAATTATATAAAACTAATAACTGTCGTTTTTTCAATACTATCTAAAAGATATTTTTTAAAATTATATAAATTATTCTCGATTATCGATACTATCGATTTTAAGCCCGACAGTTTTTCCATTACGAAAAAATGACTTCATTTAGCAAAATTCCCTAGGAACACGCAAATTATATATTGTTTCTATTCCAGTTGTAATAATTCCTTATATACTTGTACATACATAGTTCTGAGCACTGTGCTTAATAATAATTTGTGGGTTTCATATGTATATGTATCGGCAATCTTTTGGATTTACAATTGAATTGCAAAAGAAGTGAAAATAGCAATGCCACTAAGTTGAATGCATGAACAATGAGTTCTTTTAAAAGATCAAACGAACATTTTCTTAACTTTTTTAAGTATTAGCTCTATTCTTTTTATACCCTGTACCCAAAAGGGTACAAGGGTATATTAGTTTTGTGCGAGTGCACATGGAACACACAGAAGGAGGCTTGGTAGACCCCACAAAGTATATATATTCTTGATCAGCATGACAAGCCGAGTCGATATAGCCATGTCCGTCTGTCCGTCTGTCTGTCTGTATGAACGCAAGGATCTCCGAAAGTATAAGAGCTAGAATAACCAAACTTGGTATACAGATTCTCCTGAGACCGAGAAAGGACGAGTTTGTTCATTTTTTCTGATCCACCCCCCCACTCCCCCCCTATTAACGATTTTCTATAACTTCCGTAATTCTTGGAATTTTGAACTAAAATTTGGTAGTCACATTAGGTTAGTTATTATATAACCGTATACCAAGTCTCATTATGATAGAATGATCGGAAAGAAAGTTATAGCCATATAACCAGGCCCAATGCACACATACATACATATGTACAAGTACACAAACACGCATAAGGCACGATTCTGATGTAAATGTATGTATGCATGCATGGAATATTTTATATTTAATTTAGTTAATTAATTAAATTAATTTAGTTAATTAATTAAATTTAATTAATTAATTAATTTAATTACTTTTTTGTGGGGTGGTACAGGGTATTTAAGAGTTGAGCCTGCTCGACTTTAGCATTCCTTTCTTGTTTAAAACAAATGTATTTAATTGGAGAGAAGTGCCAATTTTTTAAAAATTTGATGATTTGTAGAGTGTCTATTTTGGCTTTCTTCTGCACACCGATTTCGTTTGTGTGCCACTGTGCGAGGCCTGTCCCCTATCCAAAGCCATAAAAATTGAGCTACAATTAGGTTGCGTTCCGCAAGAAACGACAAACGCACGGAGTGACCGATCAGATATAACGAAAGTTGGTGGAACCAGCAATAAGCCGAGGAATCGACACAAGCAATACGTGTAAATGAAGTAAGAATTGTATTATTGTCTGGGAGGAGAGGGCCTGATACAATGGCATACGAATACGTGTGGAGAAGTTACGACAACCTCGATCGTTGCGTCTTATCTTATCATATTTCTTTAACTTTGGCATTAACTCAGTTCTGTTTTTCCAGCGCATATCGAAAATTGCGGAGCAAGTGGGCGATCGAAACTGCTGGAGGAGGGGGTGGAGGTGGTGGGGAACACTATTTCGTGCTGCGCATTTCAACCACCAATAGATACAAATAGGTAGATCGTTCGATTATACACACACACACACACACACATACACGAACACACACACGCACAGGGCCACAGGAAGTGTAAGAAGCCAACGAGCCGTGTCCGAGGGTTGCTTCGAATGTACTTTTATAAAAAGAAAGAGAGCAAGAGAGAAGGGGGAAAGACCTACCAGAATGATGTCCCGCATCATCGTCCGTGCCTTCGTGCTGCTGCTGCTGTAAATGTTGTTGTTGCTGCTGCTGTTCATTGTTTGGCTCACGTAACGTTGTCGCTGACGCCTCCGCTTCTTCAACGGCATGCAAGGCCAGCTCATTGATCTTGAAACGCTCGCAGATGAGCTGCGAACAATGGTCGGTCTGAAAATATGCGGTCAGCTCATCCAAACTGAGGGGACAGACATCGTACTGCATGTAGAAGTGTTTGCCCCAACTGCCTGTTTCTTCGGCACATGTGGAGGTGGACAATGCACCTACATGTCCGTGCTGGGATCCATGGGGATTGTGCAGATGACCGGCATGGCTGCCAGCAGGTCCCGAGTTCGCCATCGTCGTCTTCAATAGGGAGTTGCTGCGCGATAGTTTTGTGGAATGGGCGCGTCTTATGAAGCTCAGCGATTTCTTGGGCGGTGAGGTGACACTGCTGATGGCTGCTGGCGACGGTGGCGTTGCATCCGCCGACGACGACGATGCGCTGGACAACTTGGGTGTGGACTTGAGCAGGAAGAGGTTCTTCGGTGGAAAGGTGTGCGTTATTATGGAGGCGGCCGAAGCGCTGCTCTGCAGCTTAAAGGGTGAGAGCACTTTATTCGAATTCTGCGCTTTCTGCTGCAATGGCTGGGAATTGGGATTTGCAACACTAATACTGCTGCCGCCAAAAAGCAGCTGACGTTTCTTGCTGAGCAGTGTGGGCGTGTCAGAAGAGCCGCCGCCACCCTCGGAGCCGTGTTTGTCGTCTAGCGCCGCTGCCTGCTGCAGCACAACTGACGGCGAGAGGTTCTGTGGCAATGTCTTCGATTTGGCGCGCAGTGTAATCAGCGCCGTGGTTGTTGGTGACGCCGATGATGAGACGCCAGCCTTACTGCTCGCCTGCAGTCCACGTTCGACGCTGGGCAGCGGTACGGCCAAAATGTTAGTGCGCGAACGCGACTTCATCAGCTTAATTGGTGTTGAGGTGTTAGTCTGCATGCGACTTATCTCTGAGTCATCATCTTCCTCGTTGTTGTTGTTGTTGTTGCTGCTGCTGCTGTTCTGCGACGCAGTCGCCGTTGACGTCGGCGCTGATGTCGACGATTGACGCGAGTGTGCCGGCGATAGAGAGAGCGCCTGCTGTTTGGGTGGCGTTGCCATCACAATGTCGTTATCTTCATTGAAATGTGTACGCGGCGCAAACCTGGCGCTATCACCTGACGCTGGCGTCGCTGTCGATGTCGATGTTGACGTCAACTCGCCATCATCGCTGGCAACGCCATTCAAGCTTATTACGTTCAGCACAATGCCATAGCGTTTAAGTTTTGAGGCAGGGGTCGTTTGCTGCTGCTGCTGCTGGTGATGGTGTGGGGACGGCGGCGGCTGACTGCTTGCCACAGATATCGATTTGACTAGCTGCTGACGATGCGCGTTCTCTGCTGCTTCTTCCTCATCCGTATCCGATTGCTGGCCAGCTGCCTCATTGCCGCTTATGCTCCAATTGAAGCCACAAGGTGGTGACATTTTACTGCTGTTCCCTCCCCAAAGTCCGCTCACCTTAGCTACGCCGCTCTTCACTGATGCCGATTTGCGTAGTTGCGTCGACGTCGACGCTGGCGTCTGTGGCTCTGCTTTGCTGCTGCTCCGCTGCTTCTTTGGTTGCTCCGGTGTCTGACTATAACTTTGTTGGCTGCTGCTGCTTAAGCTTGAGCTGCTGCCGTGTATTGTGCTGCTATTATTATTATTATTATTGTTGTTGTTGTTATTGTTGCTGCTCTCGTCCTCGTCCTCGATAACCAGCGGCACATAGAAGGTGGAGCGACGCCGCTGCGACTTCTCCTCAGGCGTTGCTTGTGTCGCTGTTGTTGTTGCCGCCTCACTGCTTTCTGTTGTTGTTGTCGCGTTGTTGCTATTGTTGTGGCTGTGGCTATTGTTGTTGTTGTTAGCGGCGTCACTGGCCGCCTGCAACATTTTGCGCGCTGGGTTTTAGTTGATGGCGTCGAGCAGCAGCTGTGACAGCGCAGGCGCGTCGTTCATTGTCGGCGCACGCACACTCTCTCACACACACACGATCAAGCAGCAACAAAAGAGAGCTATGTATGTGTGTGTAGGTGTCGCCTAGTTAAGACTGCTGTTTTGTTTGTTTGTGTTTGCCGCGCGTCGCGTCTTCGACAACAATTTAGCTGACAAGCACTTTTTCTTTATGTATGTATGTATGTATGTATGTATGTATTTTTTGCTATTTTATTGCATTTCACTTTGTATTTTTTTGTTTTGTTCGTTGTTATTGTTGGCTGGTTTATAAAAATTATGCGCTGAAGTGCATTTATTTCCGCGTTTGCAAGCCAACGTTTCTTTTTCTTCAGTTTGCCGTTGTTTTTCTTCGTAACGCTTTTTTTTTTTGTTTTATCGCTGGTCACATCAGAGATCGAAACGCAGACGCAGCAACGCGCATCAGTTGCATGCAGCTCGAAATACTTTTATGGCATTCTTTTCTACACACGCACTCACACATTAATGGATGCAGTTGACTTTGCAGTTGTGTGTGTGTGTTTTCACAATTTAAATGCGCTGCACACGCGCGTTCATGCCGTCTTGGTATCTTGGTATATATATATATGTATTTATACGTACGTTGTTGTTGTGCGAGTGTGCCATGAATTTCAAAACAAACAACAACAACAATTTCTAAACAGAGCAGAGTACGTTACAAGATCGAAGGTGCGACGAAGCCACAAAAAATTTTGTTGATTCCAAATGGTAGTATAAACAGAAGAAAAAAATGTAACAGCACAATAACAAAATAATAATAGTAGAGGACCACCACAACGGAAGAATAAAAAAATTTGTTTTTGTTAAAACCGCACGAAAAACAAAACACGCGTAAAATGCGACAAAACGCGTTCCGCTCGCTGACGCGCTTCTCACACAACTGACAAACGACGACGACGGCGTTGAGCAGCGGACCAGCCATTTTTTTCTTGCCTCGCGACCGTGTCTATGGGAGTGAGTGAGTTGGCACGATCATTACACGCAGTGTGGCCAAGTAGTGTGGCGCAGCCGCAAACAGTGCTGCCCATACGCGCGCGCATCAGAACTTAGAGAGGCAGAGAGAGAACAAGCGTACAAAGCGGACAGCCCAATGAGCTACATACCTAACAACAAATGCAACGATGATGTTGAGGTTCATAAGCGCAACACAAGATGCGGCAGATTATTCTGTATCTTTGATGAGTGTAGGAATTTTATTTAATTAAATTTTATTTATTCAAATATGCAATGGCATGTGGGCGATAAATATCTTTGACAGTCTGATCTTTATATTAAATGCAATTACCAAATACGTTTACAATTTAATTAGCTTTTATTTATGCCTCAATTTGGTGGAGGAGTGTTCTTTGGTTTATTTAGTCTTGGAATGCAATCAGCTGTTGCTGATTGATAAAAAGAAGAGCGAACGAGGTGGAGAATATCTACAATTTGAAGATAGCAGAAACAATACTTGAAATCGATAAGCAAATGGCCGGAATTGAAGAAATATCTGTTTGTGTATTTCTTGAATTGCTGTGATTCCTATTGGGAATTGTATGATAAAAATAATAATAATAAATATTTTGGACATAACGGTAGTTATGTAAGTCAAATCGATCGTTGAACAAAATGTTTCAAAAAGAGAGGATCATGCAATTGTTTGCACTCCCACAAGACACTAAGATTCTATGATTCTAAGTATGTATGTATGTATGTAGGTTTGTAGGATATTAAAACTTTCATGTTGGAAAATCGATGAATAAATTAAAATAACTGATTAGTAAGGGAGTTAGCTAAAGGAACTAAAATCACAATCAGTTCGTTACTCTAATAATTTGTTTCCCAACTCTGCATATAAGTATGTATGTACATATGTATATTTGTTTTTAAATTCCGTTACTTATGCAACATGCTGCTCGGTTGTCTGTGCAGCGTATATGCGTAAGAATTTCAATATCCAGCAACAACAACGCCAACGAGGAGAGCGGGACACGCACAATAGCAACAACAACTTTAAAGGGCGTGAGTGGCAATCTGCCACTGCTGTCGCTCCGCTCTGAGGCACATAATTGATCTAATTGAGCGCAGGTACACACACAAACGCACACACACACACACACAGGCTGTTACACACTTAAGTGTAAACACACATGCAATGTACATACATATAATAAGCAAATTAGAGGCGTACGTACATACATACATATGTATGTATTATGTACAATTTAACTCAATTCCCAGTTCCAACAACTCCACACTCGTGCCCCGCACCTTAACACTTTAACGACGCCCCCAACCATGGCTGCGGAAGTGCGTGACTTTCGTGTTTTATGCGACACTCGACTCCTTTTTACGGAACTGCGCGACTTGTTTATGGCGTTCGGTCCGTTGCTCTGTTGTTGAGCCATTTGCATAGCACAATGAACTGTTAACACGGCATAATGTTGTTGTCTCTCCCAGGCCTGTTGCCTTCCTTTCTTTTTTCTTGCCTTGTGTTCCCTTTTTGGTAACGGAGACGCGGCGACAACGAAAATGACAACATAAACGTGAACGCCAACGCTGACGTCAATGCTGAAGCCGATGCTGCTGAAAACGATGTAGCCGTTGACATTTGAATATTTGAATGCATGCGTAGCCGCTAAGTATGCAATGGAATGTAACGGCGTCTGCGCTCAAAAGCATGCCGACCAATAAATAATAAAATGCAAATAGAAATAGCACTGCACGTTGAAATGAAAACACAATTCACTTCCATTTCCATTTAAATATAAAAATAAAAAATATCGCTGGTGATAATCATTCGAAGCAGATCATGGGAAAATGTTTCATTTATAGTCCGCAGCTTCTAGATAAAGTGTTTGCCAGTCTTGTGAGCATAGAATGATATCAAAAATGCTGCTAAACTTTAGAACTGAAACGCCTAGTGTATGGTAAGAGGCAGAGGGAGGCGTAGCCGTCTGTTCGTCCGAATGAATGCCAAGAACTGTTCAACTACAACGAACTTGGTATGTAGACCTATTATTTTATATAGCTGCAGTAATTAAGCAAACGATAGGGTACACAAAATAGTTATTTTTAAGCTTTTATAATGCCTTTCCATAAACTGAAGTTTTATCGAAGTCGAGAGAAGGGACGAGGGTACAGGGTTAATGCAACACATAGCTAAACAATATTTGTTTACTGTTGCCACTCGGAATATTACTGGCTTGCTTTTGGATTTGGAATTGGAATTGATCTCAAAGAAATACTAGTAATAATGCGTGCTTTTAAGCTGCAGATTCAGCTACAGAGTTCCCATCCTATCGACCCCAAGTTCCCTTCATCACCACAAGCCACAATCGGACTTGAATAGCCTTCGGCACGTTCGTATGCTTGTTCGTTTCAAGATCGCGCGTTCTCCAAACATAATTCAAAGCCCAACCTTGTTGCAGACTGTCAAGTACAAGGTGAGTGTTTGCCGAGAATCGCTCAAACTACCCGTGTGGATTATTTATCTGTCTTATCGCATAACTGCTGTCGCATTTAAAGCTGACCAGACAAAAACTGCTCGGCATAGAGCAGGCGTCAGTAAAACATTTGCGGGTTTTTAGGTTTGCATCACGCCCCAACTACAACAACTACAATTGCAACAAAGTCGTCATTGTCTTGTTGGGCATACATTTGTCTGAGTATACTAAATATATACTTGTTTATATGTATGTATGTATATATGTAGGGGGTCAGGGTCTCTGAAATTAACGCACAAACAAATCAACGTGGAGCGTAATTGCAAAGCAATTTCTCGTCATCACACACAGAGTCCAAGGCGGGGGAATATTTCAAATGCCCCATAAAATAGAGGCAGGGGGGGGGGGGGGTGTCTTTCAATTGAATCAATTGCGCTTTCTAGTTGAATACAATAGAGCTAGAGAGCTGAATGGAGCGTATTACCTTCATTCAGTGACGTATCGTTTAGCGCCGTATCGAAATGTATGCGTGGCAGTGTCTTCGATTTGTACTCACCTGCAAGAGAAGAGAATCGGAGGAGAGGTATTAGTTATATACATATAAATAATGATACTTATAAATAAAAAGAGATACTTCATTAACGATACTCAAATCGACATCTCATTGCTTCATTTATACTGAAAGTGCACGTTCGCTGATGTCGACATTATGGCTGTCTTCTTATCTCTAAAAACGCTTCTTTTATTTTTTTTGGTTTTCTTATTTAGAGTTTATTCTAAGAATCGGCTTTGGACATCTAATTTTTCGGCATGACTCATTATATTATTACCTAAGCAGAATAGGCTTTCATTATCGGTTGAAAGAGTCTTGTCACTTAAGCTTTGTGGCAACTATTTGCTTATCTCTCTGTTCCAAATGTTTACAAATTAAAAGACATCCTACTTTGTCTGCAATTTATCGTTCAATTGCAGTGCAATTGTCTCTCTTCTCGTTAGATAGTCATGTGTGTAGAAGACTCGACTCGACCCATTTGCATAGATTGACCTTTGAATGGCTGGGCTGCATTTGTTCGCTGCAATTGTTGATATCAAGATATGAGCAGCGCCGACTTGTTATGAATTCATTTCAATTAATGAAATATATGACAACAGCTGCGTGCCAACTACAATCAAACTTTTCCAACTTGAAACCTCAGCTGCCATGATAAATATATTTCTGGAAAAACCAGATACATATACATAGATGCGAGTTACGTTTCAGTCTCAATAAATAATCAACATTTTGCAACTTTTTCATAGACATTTGAGTTATTTCTTTATTATTATCGTTGTAAATTACTTTGGACCCAAAAAGGGGTTTCTTTCGGAGATATGAAGTGTTTTTTCTTTTCCAGGAATTCTCTGCATTACCCCTAAAAATGTTGCTTGAGAATTGTGACCTAATATTAATACTCAAAAATACCTTATGTGTAATGTTGAACTTAAGACGAAGCGTTCTACAAAATCGTTCGTAAGTGATCGAAGTGAAATCTGAAAAATTCTTCATAATCTACTTAAATTTTAATTTCAACATGAAATGGAAAAAACTTTGTTTTAGAGTATTTTCGAACCCTAATATCTTCCTGCAGACTTCCGAAATAAACTGAAAAATTATAACAGCTTCCTATTTGAAACTTGCTTGGAAACAATAACGAATACGTTTATTCTACGAGCTCTAGACTTCGAGTGTGGTTCGAATTACCAATAAACATTAAGATTGTTCGCCTTATGGAGTGTTGTCTGTGCAGACGGTGATGAGGCGACGCCGTACTCTGAATCGCGCCAATTCAGCACACAACGAGTCCGGCCAGCAAATGACAAATGCACTCCGATACTCGTATAATGAAGTAAGGCAGAGGGGGCGGAGGGGTGGGTGGGTGGTTCAGTACGGAGCAGTTACTGGACACGTGTGAATGCGCACCGAACGGCCTTCACACACTCCGACAAGAAAGCGCGACAAAGACCGAGAGACAGACAGGCGGACTCGAACGATTTGGGAGGTGGGCAGCAAATAGATGGAAGCCCAATAGTAATAATACTCTTCATATAAATATAGAAAATTAGGTCTTCCTTATAGCGTATTGCTTTACGGCACCGTTTTCTGGGAATCGTATGTATTTGCAGACGCAATCGAAATTTTAATGCGAACGCACATATGTATATATTGAATATGCATATAACAATTTAGTTGATTGTAATTAAATATTCTTATCATATGCCACCACAGCTGGCCGAGTGAAGAAAGTGAATCACGAGCATGTTGGGGGGAAATTCCATAAAGA